CAGCAGAGACGGGGGGATCCAGCCCTGCAGCTCAGGCTCTTTGGCAGGTGCCTGGCACCCAGCTCTAAAGCAGCCACCACCCCGGGGTGAGGAGCAGGGCCAGGGCAGGGCCTGGAGCTGGGTCACCCACTTGAGCGCTGGGAATGGGGTCGGTGAGACCGGCCTGGCATTTAGTCCAAATTAATCCGTGTTCATGCTCAAGTGACAAAAGGGGCAGCAAGCTGGGTCCTAACTGGGTGTTAGGTGCCACCCAGCCCTCCTGGTTCCTCACCTCTCAGCCAGACTTCCATCGGTACCAAGGGGAACATGAACTGTCCCTGGTCGCCGCCCTGCCTCAGCACCACTGAGCTGTAACCCTGGGCACAGGCACTGGGACTGACCCAGGAGGGACAGAGCTCTGCAGGGCTCAGGGGGAATAAAGTGAGACCCCAGATACCAGCCCCAGCCCCCTGCAGCCCTCACCTGGGAAGAGCATGGTGGTCAGCAGCTCCGGGGACTCCAGCAGGCTGATGATGGAGCGCTGGAAGGTCTTGCTGCAGCTCGACTGCAGGTGGCTGCAGAACAGGGCACAGGATCAGGGCCCACGGGGCTTGTGTGTGCCCCGCGGGACCCCTGCCCATGCACCTCCCAGAGCAGCACAGCCCTCCCCGCTCCCCAAGCCCCTTACCAGGGTGTTCACCCCTGCAAGCAGCCCAGGGCATGCACTGGGATGCAGCAGCAGGATGGGCTGCACAGCGACAGGGAGCAAGGGGGGGTCCTTGGACAGCCCCAAAGGAAACTCCCCCCCCACCCCGAGCCCTCAGACCCAGCCCCACACGAGGGAAGGCTCCAACCTCCTCCAGGCGGTCGCATCCTGCCAGAACTCGTACAGGATGAAGCAGGCCTCGTCCCTCAGCTTGCAGGCGGAGACGCTGCGGGACGGGAGGGACACTGAGACAGGGCCGGGGGGGGCTGGCACTGAGCAGCCACAGCGGTCCCGGAGCAAGGGGCACACGGGCTGCACATGGGCCCTGCCATGAGGCTGTCAGAGCTGCATGGATTCATCCTCGGTTTGTGGCTGGCACACGGCTCCAGAGCATCCCCAACCCAAATCCCTCGTGCTTCATAGTTCCTAGAGGCGGGCAGCACAGGAGTGCTGCAGCTGTTACCCTGCTGCTGCTACAGACCAGCCCGTAAAGGGTTCCATTAAGTATTTCTTAGCCCATCCCTGGCACTGCAGCGCGGAGCCTGAGGAAGCAGCTCACCCCGCCAGCCCTCTGCAGTAGGTGTGTGCCATCCCTTGTCCCTCACACGGCAAGAAACAGGGGCCCACATGCACGACCTGAGACCTCCCCAGAACCCCCAGCTGCTGACCCCAAAGTGATGCTGCTTGGCCAACGCTTCCCACGCTGCCTCCTGCAGCAGGACCCGGCTGGGGCCTCCTCCAGCCCCTGGGAAGATGGAGCAGGGAGGCGGGAGCAGTGCTCGGGGTGCAGGGAACCATCTGCACCGGCTGCAGCATCATCAGCTCCAGCTGAGGATGAGCCTTTCCTCCAGCTGCTGCAGGAAGGGACGGGCCCAGCTCTGAGGCCACGTTCCCTGCTGTGACCCAGGAGTCTCCCTGCACTTCGCTCCAGCTTTTCCACTCACGTGGAGAGCGCTGCCCGTGCAATGCTACCCAGCTCTCTGCACTAATTGTTCTCCTGCCAGAACAGCATCAATTGCAGAGGACAAAACCTGCCGTTCTCTGTGCCACACGTGCCAAAACAAGGATATTCCCCTTGTTCCCACTGAAAACATGGTTTTGTGCTGTTGGAACTGAAGAGCTGAAAAATGACACTTTCAATGGGGACATCCCCAACTCAAAATGTCCCACGAGGGAAGGGAAGCACCTCTGGAAGAGCAGCTCTCTGGTGTGCAGTGGTGTGCACTGCAGCCAGACCCGGCTCCATCCGCAGCTCTGGTCCCACTCAGCGGTTGCTCCTCCTTCCCCCAGCACCCACACACAGCACAAAGCAGGACTCGGACACCAGCTCTCCCCTTGACTTCCCCCCCACTGCTTTTGAGTCTTTCAGCGCTGGAGGAACACGTTCATGTTCCTGCCACAGCCACTGCTGGCAATAAAACCAAGCACCACCACCCACCCTTCTCCTCGCCGCTGACCTGTGGTCCTTGCGGGGAGCACCGGCAGCAGGAGATGGGCTGACACTGCAGACACACTGCCGCGCTGTCCGGGCCTCTCTGCTAGGACAGACTTCACCCCAAGCCCACAGAGCCCTCCCCTTGTTGTCCCCAGCACCGCTGTGTCCACGCACTTACTGCAGGCAGCTGCTCTGCCCGGCCGTGCCCGCCGTGTAGGACCTGAAGGCCTGGCAGAACTCCTCGATGCTGCTCGTTGCCACCGAGATCTGCCTCTTGGCCACCAGGATGTGCTGCGGGGGGACAGCGGAACAGTGTCACCAGGGACAACGTGTGCCCCCCTGCCCCTGGTGGCACGGCCCTGCCTTGGGGCTGCTGCTGTTCACTGTGTCCTTCCCCAGTGAAATGGGCCTGGGACCCCTGCACTGGGGCTCTGCATCGCCTGTGGGTGCTCGGAGCAACCCTGGGCCACCTGGGCACTCACAAGAGCTGCCTTCCTCTGGGCTGGCCATGGGCACTGCCCGCACCTGATGGAGCTGTATTTGCCCTGTGGATGGTCCCACAGCTCCCAGCTCTGATCCCATCCCGCTGCATGGCCGGGCAGCCAGTGCAAAGCCAGCAGCTCACCCCAGTAACACCAGTCTCCGAGGGCTGTGTGAGTGGGACTGGGGACCTGTGCATGCTGCAGGGTCACTGCAAGCAAGAGGAACAGGACAGGAACTTACTGCATCTTTTCCTTTGCACATCGCTTCCTCCTTCAGCGGCTCCAGGCGCGGGCTCTGCATTTAAGCACAGGAAAAGCCATCATCCCTGGGGAGCTTTGCAACCAGGTAAAACCCGCAGTAACCCACAGCCCAGCTCAGCAGGTACCACTCTGGGCGTTCCTTTGGGGACCTGGGGGAGAACTGGGATGAGACCCGCTCATCTGTTGGGCTCAGTGGGTCCAGACTGACTTGGTCAGATCAGCACAGACCATGCAGGAGGGTCAGCCAGAGCCCCCCGGGGGAAAAGCAGGGCTATGGAGACTGCAGGGGATGAGCAGCTTTGCAGGTCCGGGTCTGGTGACCGGGTGCAGCTCTGTCAGGGTGCCAGGATGGAACTGCAGGCTGGGGGCACCCACCCGCAGGCCCCAGCACACACACACCTTGCACTCCAGCTTCTCGATGAGCTGCTGCAGCCGGTTGATCTGCGCCATCCACTGGCTGTTGTCTTCGACACAAACGCCTGCGTGGGCACGGGCAGAGATGTCACTGAGAGAGCTCATTGCAAAAGCTTGCTCAAGACCCAGGAAACCACAGGAGCTTCTAACCCCCGATTTAAACCAAACCCCTGATTTTTCTGCTCAGACTTTTCGCATTGCTCGCAAGATCCCACATCCACACACAGAAGCTCCAGGGGCATGTGAGTGAGGTGGTCCAGGCTCTGTCCCATGCTGCTGCTCCCACCCCTGCTCCAGTGGGGCAGAGACCAACTGAGGGATGGCCGGGATGTGGATACCTGTCGTTAGCATCCCAGAATAGGGGTCTGTTGGAGACAGGCAGACGTTCTTCTGTGCTCTGCGCCCACATCGCCTCCCTGGCCTCAGCCCAACCAAGGTTTCAGGCTTCTGTATGTCCTTTCTGAAAGCATAAGATGCAAAAGGAGGGGTTGAAGTCATTCACTGCGCAGGGCAGGTCACAGCAGGCTCGGAAAGGGCAGATCCTGCTCCCAGATGTCCCTCCCAGCAGGACCTGTGGGTCCTGCCCCACACTGACCCCCATGGGCAGGGCAGGACCTGCACCCGTTACCTCTCCCGTCCCGCCTGCTCCTCCACGGTGTCCACGGCGCACTCGAGCGAGGCCTGCAGGGACTGCAGCTGCTGCAGGGTCTCCCGCAGCAGGAACCGCGTCAGGAACTGCTCCATCTTCGAGGAGCTCTCGTACCTCTGCGGGGAAGGGGTAAGGATCTGTCAGATGCCTCAGATGGAAGGGGCTGGCCTTAAATAAACCCAATGGATTGGATTCCAATCACATGTGGAGTTACTGGAGGGAGGGACGGCACCGAGGGACACGAGCATCCTCGGGGTGCGTGCCGGTGAGGTCAGAGCAGGGAATGCACCGCGATGACCCCATCCTGGCCTAGGAGTCAGGGGCCCACAGATGGACACTTCCAAGCCACAAGTTAATGGACACTGGTAGAAATAGCCCCCAGCTCAAGGGAGGGCTGTGGGGCACCCAGAGCTCCCTACCTGCCCCCTCACTGGGGCTCCTGGGACAGGGCTGGTGGTGCTGAGCCTGCAGTGGTCCCCCATGCACAGGCAGCCCCTTGCAGGGAGCACCCGCCACTGGCAGGACAGGGCAGCAGGGGGGCTTTGTGCCCTCTTCCCTTGGGAAGGCAGCACCGAGCCTCTCTGCTCCAATGCGAAGAGATCCCTGCTGAACCTGTGATGTGCACCTCTGCTCGGGGCCACCCCACAGCCTGTCCCCATGTCACCCACTGAGAGTGCCTGACAGCCCCTGAAGCCTGGCCTGTTCCTTTCCATGCGCTGTGGGTGCTGCACCATTCCCTGCAGCCTGCTCCAGTCACCCTTTCCGGTCCAGTTTTCACTGACTTCCTTAAAACAACCTGCAGTTTTGCCCTTGTACCATTGGTCATCCCAAGGGCCAGAATCTCTCCATGCCCCCAGGAATGGAGATGAGGTACCCAAGGAGGGATGCTCAGTGAGGCAGGGAGCAAGGAGGAAAGGCTGAGACAGACAGCAGCTCCAGAGCAGGCAGCTGACCTCCACTGGGGCCTCCCCTGCAGAGCAGGTACCAGTGCCTGGCTTGCCCCCACAGGACTCCTCCTGTCCCACTGCAGGGTGAGGCTCTTCCTCCCGCCCCAGCATCCCCCAGGACTTTGCCATGCTAAAGCCTGCAGTCGTCACTGACAATGGCAGCAGCTTCATCCGGGTGGGCTTTGCAGGCCAGAAGAAGCCCAAGTTTGTGCTAAGGACCACGTTCCTACACCCCTGCAGCGCTTGCACCACGCGGGAGGCCCAGCAGCACCACAGCACTGCTGAAAGCATGGCAGGCTTCACTGTGGCACCCACTCAAGGAGGGCATCATTGAGGACTGGGACAGCATGGAAAACCTATGGAGCCACCTCTTCTCCTGCGGCCTGAGAGCTCCCCCAGAAGAGCAGGCAGTGCTCATGGCTGACTCCCCATCATGCCCCACCACCAACAGGGAGAAGGGGGCAGAGGTGCTTCTCGAGCACTTTGGGGTGCCAGCCCTGCACGTGGCCAACACCGGGTTCCTCTTCCTCTGTGCCTACGGCAGGGTCACAGGCCTGGCTGTGGAGGCTGGGGCTGGAGTGTCCCACATCACCTCCGTGTGCCTGGGGCAGACACAGCGGGAGGCCACGTACCGCCTGGGGGTGGCTGGTGGCTTCCTCTGCAGCTACCTGCACAGCCTGCTGACGGACAGCGCCAACGAGCCTTGAAGGGGAACACGGCGAGCCAGATGAAGAAGCAATGCTGCTACGTCTCCACGGAATACGAAGGAGACCTCTGGAACCGAGGTTTCCATCACCCAGCCAGATTTCAGGCTCCTGACGGGCGCTGTATAACCCTGCACAAGGAACGGTTCCGCTGCCCGGAGCCGCTCTTCCAACCGGAGCTGCTCCACCAAAGCTCCCCAGGGCTCCGCTACTTGGCCCGGCAGAGCCTCCAGGAGGTACCTGACCACACCAAGGGGGACATGGTGGGTAACACTGTGCTGTCAGGGGGCTCCTCCATGTTTCCAGGCTTTCCTGAGAGGGTGTGCTTAGAGCTGAATGCCCTGTTCCAAGACACAGGCTGCCAGATTCAGATGCTGGCCAGCCCAGAGAGGGGCACAGCAGCCTGGGCAGGGGGCTCCATAGCAGCATCGCTCACATCCTTCCAGCAGGCGTGGATGGCAAAGGGTGAGTACGAGGAGCACGGTGCTGAGTACGTGCACAGGATACTCCAATAGGCAGATGATGCATCCCGAGCAGCCCACCACAGGGCAGGAGCAGGGTCTCCAACACACTGCCTTGCTGCGGGCAGAGCTGTGCTGGTGACCCAGGGCCGGCTCCTGCGCGGCTGCAGAAACGCAAAATCAATGCAATCGCTCCAAAAGAAGTAAACTGCATTTCATTGACAGCCCGGGTTATTTCTGTGCCTATCCCATCACTCTCCTCTGCACGTGTCCCATGTGCTGGCAACACACCCACAGCTCCTGCTGTGAATCGAGGCCGTGCCAACTGCCTGGTACAGCCGGGCCCCGATGCTGCACGTCCAGAGCACTGCAGCAGAGCTGCTCCTTTGGAGTGCACGGCCTGCACAGGGAAGGGGCTGCTCCAGCCAGGGGGAAAGCTCCTTCCAGCCATCACTGCAGTGGGACCCTGAGGTTCACTGGGAGCCACAGGGGTAGGAGGGCTAAGCTGAGGAGCAGAAGGTCCTCACGGCACCAGCACGGCAGCAGCTTTACTGCAGGAGGTGGTTTCTTGACTAGGCACTGAAGCGGTGCAGCCCTGGGTCCAGAGGATGAGCAGGTGAGAACCAGAGAACAGAATTCCTGCTTTGTGGTTTTGGTATCAAGTTGATTTGGGAGCAGGTTCAGGTTCAGCTCCGTGAACAGGCAGGAAAGCACTCCCCTGCCCTCGCTGCTGCTGCAGTGAACTGACCCAGACCAGCAGACGATCAGAAGAGGATCAGAGGTTCATGGGGGATACATCATTCATCCACTGCATGGCTGCACACAGCCTGCTTCATTCTGGGAGCTGGTCCCTATCCAGACACTCTCATCCTTCTTCATGCACAGAGGACACTTCCCACAGCAAGCAGCCTCTGGTTCACTCCCTTTTCCAATGCATCCTCCTGAGCCCCCGCTGGGGCCCCCACAGCTTTGGCATATGGACACTTCCCCCTGCACAGGGGCCGGATGCCTCTCCTGTTCATCGCTCCCCTTCAAAAGGCCATGTGCTGGGAGAAGCCCCGGCACCAAGCCAGCCTCCCAGCACTCCCCATCCTCTCCCCTTTCATCATCATGGCCTGATCCTCATGTCCTCTGTGGATGCAGCTCTATCACAGGAGCAGGCAGCTGCTCCCACAACCTGTCCCGAGCCCCACCGCTCACCCCACTGCAGTCCCTGCACCCCAAACCCAGGCACCAAACCCACCTACCAGCCCAGGGCACACTCTGCTCGGCTCTGAAGCTCCCCATCCTCCCAGTCCCAGCACATCCCAACCCACTTCCAAGGGCAGAGCAGGATCCCACACGGACACATCAATGTTTGGGGCCAGCATTGCACACGACGAGCAGCTGCCTCCTCTCTCGCCTCAGCAGACACAGCACCCCCAGGGGAGCATGCCCAAGAGAGGATGGAAATAACCATCTCCCAGGAGAGCTCTGAACCCCGCTTGGAAAATCTCATGCCAGAGGAGGGAATCCATTGGAAAATGCACCTTCCCTTCAGCTCAGCTGCCCGGCCCCCTCCTCGCTCTGGGGCAAACAAGCAAACCCCTTTGCCTTCAAACCCCTCTGTAACAGAGGCTCAAAGCCAACCTGCTCCGTCTCACTGAGCACCACGTTTTCTGCTCGCAGCAAAGACCACTGGAACGGAGTCAGGGAGGAAACACCTCTGCAAGCAGAGACAAGGCTTTTTGTCATGGACTGGAATTGCAGCTCTGTTGGCCCAGGTGAAAGCCCCAAAGTTGCCAAGAGCTGCTGTAATTCTGCTTTTGAGAGGTTTTATTAGTTTCTTATGATGATCATTAAGCTCAGGACAGGATGGAATAGGTGATTGCGTAACTCCTGCCAAAGGGGAAATAAGACTTGGAGAGGTATATATGGGTTAGTTTGCAGTGCCTGCAAAGTGGAGAACGGAAAGACTTAAGCATACAGGTCCTCTGTGAGAAATGTCAGACCCTTTCCCAAGGTATTTCCACCATACATAGAATCATAGAACAGTTTGGGTTGGAAGGGACCTTAAAGCTCATCCAGTTCCAGCCCCTGCCACGGGCAGGGACCCCTTCCACTAGAGCAGCTTGCTCCAAGCCCCTGTGTCCAACCTGGCCTTGAACACTGCCAGGGATGGGGCAGCCACAGCTTCTCTGGGCACCCTGGGCCAGCGCCTCAGCACCCTCACAGGGAAGGGCTTCTTCCTTATATCTAACCTGAACTTCCCCTGTTTCAGTTCAAACCCATCACCCCTTGTCCTGTCACCACAGTCCCTGATGAAGAGTCCCTCTCCAGCATCCTTGTAGGCCCCCCTTCAGATATGGGAAGCTGCTCTGAGGTTTCCACACAGCTTCCCTTCTATTCACTTCTTATTTGGATGCTATCATACTGCAAACACAAAGCCTAACCCCAAGATAAGCTTTAATCAGTGACCTGCAGCACAGTGAGCAAGCTGTATTTTACACATAAAAGTGGAAATAACAGAATTTGGAGGAAAAAAAAACAACTCTTTTCTTGCACAGGCATCTTTTCTTTACCATGTTTCTACCAACCCAGTGAGGAAGGATGGGAGCACAGGAACCCCTAACGATCCAGTTTCCTCCTGCCCACATATGGAGACATAAAATAGGTCACGAGCAGGTTTGCTGCCTACACACACTATTTCCTACAGGAACTGCAGCACTTACACAGTGAGAAGGATGAACCTGGCTTGTGTTTCCCATGCTTTAGCTTCCTTCCTCTCTCCTCCCCTTAGGTCATTGCCCTGGCATGGTGTGAGCATCTCCCACTCTCTGCTTTTATTGTGCTAACAAAGCAGCCCATGATCTCTGTTTTCCTGCTTCCAAATTGAGCTCCTATTTACATGAGCCTATTTACAGCTGTGGGTAAAGTTCCGGGAGGATGCAGGGGTGGGCAATCCTGTGGCAGGATCCTATTCAGGAGTAAGGAACTACCAGAGATGGATCATGCCCTAACCAAGAGACGCTGTAGTTCAATGATAAGACCTGGCTCAGAGAACTCCTTCTCCTTCTAGCTAGCCTGGAGATCCCTGCCTCCCTGGGAGTCTTGCAGAGCAGACAGGGACTATAGATCCAGTTATTGGCTCCACATCTGCCAACATCTGTTGGCTCCATGGATGGATCTGGAAGCAGAGCTTTACGGTGAGGGCTGTTGGAGCAGGCAGGTCTCTTCCAGTTTGCCCAGCACGACTGCACCTCCAGTTAAGAGCTGCTCCCCAGGATGAAGCTTCAGGCATCTCCTCCAGGAGGGAGGTCTCTGCCAAACTGGGGCTCTCAGTCCTCAGCCATGGTGGCGTCAGAGGTGTTGGAATTAACAGAAGTGAGGGGCAGACTGAGAGGTGTGAGCTTTGGCTAAAACCCAACCTAACAAACCCACTAACCCCATAATAACCCGAGACCAAGCGCCATTCTGGAAATACAAACATGGGAATACATGCAGGTCACAACAGGTAAGAACACAGCATTTGCCACCTCTGCCAGCCCCTAACAGCGACAGATTTCCCACAGCTCTGCAAGAGCCCTGACCGCAGGCTTGGAGCACTGCCCTCTCCTGCTCCCTGCTCAGAGCCCAACGGACCAGGGAAGCACGGGGAGATGCTTTCCAGGAAGGCCAGTATGTGCCTGTGAAGGGAATGAATGCATCATGGCAATACTGTGAAGCAGGCAGCAACTCCGCTTTGGAGATATACATAAATACACAAATTCATTATCAAAAAGGACAAAGCAGAAAAGAACACAAATAAAGCAGAGCTCTGAAGAGGATTAATTCCCTCCCTCTGGGCTTGCGTTTAATAACTGTGAAGGGAGCTGGGCAGCTGAAGCAAAGAGAAAAATGCATTTTCAAGTGATCCCCTCTCCTGCATAGCATTTCCCAATGAACAGGGAGATGCTGCTGAGGCTGGATTGAGCCAAAGGAACACTCAGAGAGAGCACAATCCTGACTGACACTAGAGAGGCACAAACACCACTTGGATGACCCTGCAGAGCTCCGAGAGGGACCAGATCCCCTCTCACTTCTCTGTTCCATCAATAGGGCAGTGTGCACGTGGCTGATGCCCTTCATCCACTCCCCACAGGCACCAAACCACCCCACGGAAGGGAAAGCAAGGGCTGGCCCTTCCCACGGCTGTAACACAGCATCAGCCCCAGGCACATGGCTAAACCATTTCACGTATTTCAGATGCAAAGGGGGCCAAGGAGGGTCCCCCTCCAGTGCTGGCCACTGCTTGTTCACAGCTGTATTTAGCCCACAGGCTGCACACTGCTGCTCTCCATTCAGGGCTCACAAAGCAGGAGGCTGCTCACCTTCACCAGCAGCCTCCAGTCTGCTTGCCATCAGCCCAAGCTGCATGGAGAGGCAGAGCATTCACTGCAGGGATGAACTTGGCACCAGGCTGGGAGTCAATGAATTTCATCATTCCCTACCTGCTCCCAAGCGCCTCTCTGTTCAGCCTAGAGCAGCTGAACCCCAGTGTCCTCATTTCACACACAGTGCTTGGTGGTAAAGACCTTGCTTTGGCTCAGAGACACAACACAGATTGTCAGCGATGCTCCCAGAAACAGCATTTCCAGGCAGGATGCTGCAAGTGGTCTGCAAGGAGCTGTTGAAACCACCCCTGGCAGAGCCCTGTGAGGAAGAAGCCATCGGCAGAGCACAAAAGCACCAGCTCAGCCCTTCTCCTCCAGCAGAGAGTAGTCCACAGCTGCAGACACCCAAAGCACACACAGGGTTCTGAGAGGTACATTTGTTGCCTCTGGTACCCAAGCTGAACCTAAGTAAGCAGCCAAGATCACCACAGCTTCTGTTACCAACCCGCCTGCCCCAGCACCCTCCTGTGGTTCCATCCTTACCAGCTTGGTTTTGTCCATGGCTGCCAGGACTGCAGAGTTGAGGGCTTCCAGGGCAGAAAGCACATTCCTGTATTCTCCAAGATACGCTGAGAAATAATCTGGAGCAGGAGAGAAGAGCACAGTGAGAAGGCCACAGACTCCATCTCTGCCTGCCCTGCCCCTGCTGCCTCCCACACACAGCCCAGCCCTGTCTCCCCAGGGTCAAGATCTCACCTCGGCTGGAATGAAAGAGTCCTCTCCTATCCCCAGGGACAATTTATCCCATTCCCCTTGGGAAAAGCATGGATGCCCTCTGGGATTCAGGCACAAGGACTGTCAAATGCCACTTGACTGCCCAGGTCAGACGTGCACAAAGCCCCACCACAGACCCTCAAGAGAGGAACCCTTCTGAACATCACTCTACTCACCACACAATTTCTCCGTGTCCACGTTACTGCAAGAAAAGAGAA